AAAACAAGGCAAAGGCTACTGGCAATCCCACAGTTTTTAGACCATCTATAGACTTTTTCTGAGTTGTTGCTGCTCTAAATGAAACCTTGATCCAATGACCAATACATGGACATACTTCTTGAAGAACTTAATTGTAGCAGCCTGAATGAGAGGGTGACTCAAAGCCTCTCCTTGGAGAAGCAAATAAAAGAGTTTGAAGACTGAACCCTGAAATGCTTATTCCATTTAATTGAGTTTTACTCGTGTAGCTCTTCCTTCAGAATCTTCATAGGATATTCCACAAGTGATTTCATAGAGTCAGGAAAGCCAAATCTATTTGATTAATCTAAAATTTTAGACTAGCCTCTTGAAACCATTTGTCTCACACTACCTGGAGCAGTGGAGAGAACTTAGGCTCTGAAGTCAGACAATCTGACTTCTGATATTTCTGACCTTTGTGGCCTTGGGCAAATGACTTAATTTCCCTGAAGCTCAGTTTCCTTATCTGCAAATGAGATTACATTTGATGGCCTTTGAGGTCTTTTCCAGCTCTGGATCTGTGATCCTGTTGGAAAGTGTTAATTACCCTTCATTGCAAGTCATAGGAGGTACTTTAAAGACTGTTTATTACCAGGTTTCTCATAAATATTTTCCGTATGAACCTAGCTTTAGTCTTTTGTAGAGACCATTTTCCAAACCTTTTTTTAAAATTCATAGTGTATTTCTAGATTGTCATAAGGTTTTTTGTTACATGTCAGTTGTGTGAGCTTAAAATGAACGTAGGACTAACAAACCCTTACATTTCTCTCCTTATAATGCCTTACCCATTCAGCATTGCCTGAGAGCCACCTTTAATTCACTTCTAGCCACACCTTCCAGCTTAATGGATGATTTCCACTGATCATGGCACATGTATTTGAGCAGAAAGATGCAGCAGTATAAGCAGACATGCCCAGCCTGTCTTTGGCCAGCTTGCTGTGGTGCTGTGGTTTCCAGGAATACATTTTGCTTTAAAGTAGGAACTGCCTTTCAGAAACCTGCGTGATAGGAGTAGAAAGTGGAAGAGCTTGGCATGCAGTGAGTGCATGCCATGTTGTATGGGCCTTGATAACTGTATTCCCCATATGACTGTCAGTTCCACTGATAATTTTCTGCCATGCTTATACAAGTGAGCCCTCCCATATTTTGGTACTTGTGTGCTTGCCCACTTTGTCTTTTACTTGCCCCTTCTGAATGTTATTCTGTTTTTATTCACTCATCACTGTAACTTGTAAAAGTTATTTTTAAGTTCACTTTCCCAGTTGTAAACCACCCTCACTTAATTTGTCACCTCTAGCACACTTAATAACATACTTTGTATTCTGTTTCCTTTGGTTACTAGTAAAAATGAGAAAATTGTGTCAGGTTAAAAGTATACCTTTTAAAAAATTGCCCCTAATACAATTCCAAAAGTGGCCATTAAATAAATGGTAAATGCTCCTTGGATAATTATGCTTTAAGAATGTCATATTGGATCAAGTTAAGAGCATTGGTAAAGTTGAGATTTATTGCACCTTCTGTTTCATTGTGATTTTATTGGACTTACTACCAGATTTTAAAAGGAAATGAGAAGAGCTTGAAAGAATTTATTCTTCACAAAGTTGGGCTGGTTGGGATTATGTGTTTTTGTTGTTATGTTTTAGCATATGAAAAAGTTCGGAAATCTAATTGAATTTTCAGTTTCCCCTTTTGAAAATGCAGGTGGTATGTTTTTCCCTTCCCAGTTTTCAGGGACCTTACCATGCCTCCATTAATACTCAAAGATTATTATGAATGGCTTCTGGGACCATTTTAGCTAATTCCTTGGGTGCCCTCAGCTGTAGGTCATTCAAGTCTGTAGACTCAAACAATCTAATTTACTTGAGTATTCTTTAAGTAGATCCTCTTCCATTTCAGTGCTGCTTTTTTGTCCTTTCATCCCAGTGGAGCACATGCAATTTTTCTTCAAAGAAATAAAAGCATGTATGAAAAGCGACAGGCTTTTAGTGTAATTGCTTAAGAGCTTTCTCCTTCCCTAATGAAAGGACTCAACTTTTCTCTTTTCTTTCCTTTGTGCCTGATGCATTTCAGTAACACTTCTCAGTGTATACTGTATCCCAGAACTCGTAGTGCAGTTTAAAGGTATCAAAACTTTAAGTTTTAAGCTGCTAGTACTTAAAACTACACTAAGACTTTTGGGACACCCTGTATTTATTAAACTGTGAATATGAAATGTGTGTGTCCTAGACAGAGAAATTCAGGACTTTTTATTTAAATCCAAAAATCTGTCAGGTTCATGAAGAGTCAGATGTACATTTATTTACATTCCATCATGATGAATGTATTTTTTCAAAACCATATATGAGTGGTTAGTACAGGTTACAGTCAATTAATTAACAATTACAGAATTTGCTATCCTTTCTTCAGCCTTATCCATTCTTATTGAAGACTAATGTGGAACACTTTTCCGCCTTAACTGTAGCAGAATGTTGGGGGGCAGCTAGGTGGTGCAGTGGATAGAGCACCGGCCCTGGATTTGGGAGGACCTGAGTTCAAATGTGGCCTCAGACATATAACACTTACTGGCTGTGTGACCCTAGGCAAGTCACTTAACCCCATTGCCAAGCCAAAGAAAAAAAAAAGAAAAGAAAGAAAAAGAAAGAATTGTAGCAGAATGTGCCAAAATAAAATAGGCTAGATGATTGTCTTCATTTGGTTTCAGATGGCTCCTTTTGTTACCTAAAATCAACTGGATGCAGTAATGATTACATCATTAGGACATAGTAATGATGATAAAATCAAAGGAACACAGTGTTCTTGTGTTTTTTCTTTCACCTCAATCAATTTAAGTGAAGAAATTTCATCTGAAAACAAACTTGTTGGCTACCTATATATATCATCATCCATTGGCAATTTGCTGAGAGGATGCTACTGCTCAGTCTGTTGTCTTTGTCTGGCCTTAGTAACTTATTCCACACTAGAGGAGCTGTAATTCATGGGCTAGGTTTCATTCAGACCATAGAATAAGTATCCAGTGGTGACGTTCCATTTATATAATGGTAAAAGTAGAATGTGCCTTTTAAAATCTTTGCCAACAATATCATAAAAGATGGAGTTATTTCTAAATATAAGGTACTAACTTTGTCATTCACTCTCTGGTTCTTCTGTGTATTTTACCTATGTTTAATTTTAACAGTACATGAAGGGATTTGTTTTTAATGGAATTGAGTTCCTTTTTGTGCACGCACATATATACGTATACATACTCACATGCATACATACATGCACACACACATGAACTTTTTTTCTAGGAATAAGTAACTCATAGAAAAAAGTTTCCTATCCTACTTATTCCATCCACAATTGGGGAATCAATACAGGTTTCAAGAAATTCTGATTTAGGTTAATCTCTTTTGTAGTTTCAGCAGGTTTATTTTTTTAAAATTCACTAAAAAGAAGGTAGCGTATTTGTATGTTTCATGTTCAAACTAGGAATACAATGTACCTTCTCTTATTAATAACATATAGAAAAATAGCATAGGTGGGAGTAGGTGGTAGGATTTGGAAGTTAGAAAGATATTCCATTGTGATTAATAAATAGATGATTCCCAGGTCCATAGAATCTAATTGTGAATCAGGAACTCCAGCCTGTAATTTCTTCTACTGACTGTTAAATTTCAAAATGACAAACAGCAGTTTTTGCACTTGGCAAAACTAGCTGACCTGTCTCTCTTCTAACTCCACCATGATCTTTCTTTTGGTGTCCTACCCCTCCTCCCCACTAATAGACCACATTATGACCCTCCAGTTATTTTGATACTAGAACATGAGTGTCTGCTTTACTTCAGTGACTTCCCTCGCTCTCTCCTCTCTCTGTGCCCTTCCTGGCTGGTTCCCCACCAGGGCTGTTGGCCTGTGCACTCTAGTTACACTACTGTTCACTTGTTTTGTTTTGTGTTTTTAAAATTCGAGCTAATAACTGACTTTCTTCCAAAGAAGGATGTGGTGAGGAAACATAAATGTGTTGAGTGCACATTGCTTAGAAAAAGTAGAATGATACATCAGCAGTTCAGCACAATAAAAGGACTATTTCTGAATAACAAAATGCATGATGAAAATTACATAGTGTAACAGTGTATGGATAGATAATATTATGCTAATTAAAAAAAATCTACCTAAACTTGGGCATTGTCCATACTTTGAAAAACAGTTTATAAATAAAAATCAATTCGGTAACTTGGGAGTGTTTTAGTGAATGAATTGGATGAACTGATGATTGTGGGAAGAGTATTTCAGTAAAAGGTTGTATATAGGCACGGTTGATTCACTCCATAAATAGGACAGCCCAGCAGTTCTGTGTATAAGTTTTAGAATTTTACTAGTGAACATCCAATTTTTAACCTTCCCTTTAGTTACCATGGGGATATGATAGCTTTTTTTTTTTTTTTGGTGAGGCAGTTGGGGTTAAATGACTTGCCCAGAGTCACACAGTTAGGAAGTATGTGTCTGAGGTCGGATTTGAACTCAGGTCCTCCTGACTCCAAGGCTGGTGCTCTATCCACTACGCCACCTAACTGCCCCCAGGATATAATATTTTAAGTTACTGTTACTTTCTATTTACTTTTGTATCTGTCGAATTGTTATAACTTTGACTTTTCAAGAGCTCTGTCTATTGGGCCAACAAAAATACAGGTATGTCTTTGTTGCATTTGGTTGACAGTCAAGTAATTAGCTTCTTTATAAAGTATTCAGTTGTAACCATGATTGAAAATGTTTTAACAACACTGGTGTTTGGAGGTAGAGCTAACAATTGCTGTAGTTTTTATGGTTCAAGATTTGTGATTGGAATCATTGTATATCCTTTTTTTCCCCCAAGGAGTCAATCGATGATAGGGTTCTGCTGTGTTTTAGATATTTTAAATTATTTAGACTGAAACAAATAGAGAGTCAGTGTTATTGACATTCATGTTTCTTATGCTTCTTCTTCTTTTTTTCCACTTCAGTGAGCATGTTTTTGAACACGTTAACACCGAAGTTTTACGTTGCCCTGACAGGCACTTCCTCACTAATCTCAGGGCTTATTTTGGTAAGTACTGGAAATATTATATTCATTTTAAACTTTTATTTGTTACTAAATAGAGTAATGAACATGAGAAGGGGCATTATGTCAAGGTCAGTAGAGATAAGTTCTTTTTTCTTTCAAAACTCATATTTGCCTGTTCTTTATTATAGGAAATAATAAAGCATTGAGATTGTTGGATACAGTTATTTCTATGATCTTTTTGAGTTCCAAGAGTCTACAGCTTAATTGATGCTATACTGTGGCTCTGTAATTGAGATAAATTATATGATATGAATTATTTTTTTTAAGAAATTTAAAGTTAGCTCTAGGACAAGCGCATAAAGTATGGGTAATAAGCCAGAAGAGCTAGGGATCTTAATATTGTAAGCAGTCAAGTTTGGTCTGACAAATATTACCATGACTTGGTGGGATGAGAACTTTTAATGGAATATGGTACAGAGGTAGGGGTAGGTAGGTATACCATATTGGGGTAGTTCGCAGTGTTTTTCATTCCACGAATTCATTTCAACCAAAAAAAATACGTTGTGAACTCCAGGGGATAATATGCTTCTCATAATCTGTAATTATTTACTGCTTAAGGTATCATTAAATAATTTTTAGCTGGAATCCTATGTTTATGACCACTCCCCTCCTTCCCTCCCCCCAGGTATTTGAGAATCACTACTTAATTGTAAAGGAAAAGATACGTAAAAAAAAAATCTGGGGTGGGGCAGCATTGTATATTAAAGATAAACTCTTGTAAGGAAATTTAGGAATGAGTAGGAAAATATGGTGGATGGCATTTGGATAAAGAATACAGGCAGAAGCAAGAAGTGATATTGTCATTAGAGTATATTATAGACCACCAGGGTCAGTAGAAGAAATAGATCAAGAGTTTGGGAAACAGATCCCAAGTCTGAAAGAGAGGTGTGAGAAGGAACTTTTTTTATCCAGATATCTGCTAGAACACTGGCTCTCTTTCCAAATCAGTATCAAAGAAAAAAAGTATATATATGTCATACTGCTTTATTCACAAGTCCACCAGAAATGATTTTATTGAACTCAACATTTGCAATTATAATGACTTTTTAAAAATCAAATTAGCCAATGCCTTATCTGTTTTATTATTTTTTTTAATCTACCCCCCCCCCAGTTTTATTTATTAGTTCAGGTTTTTTTTTTTACTTTACATTTTTTAATCTCTCCTTTGATTTTCAGGATTTTTATTTTTTTTGCCCCCCCCCCCTTTTAGGCAATTGGGGTTAAATGACTTGCCCAGGGTCACACAGCTAGTAAGTGTCAAGTGTTTGGTCTGAGGCCGGATTTGAACTGAGGTCCTCCTGACTTCAGGGCTGGTGCTCTATCCACTGTGCCACTTAGCTGCCCCACTGCGCCACCTAGCTGCCTCTAGGATTTTTATTTTGGTGTTCAATTTAACACTAATATCCAGATCATTTGTAGCTTAGAGAGAGATATGTCCAAACTGACATAGTCTCTTCTCTATCTCCTCCATGCCCTTTAATAATATTCACCACCTCCTACCCCCAAGCCAAGAGTTTGATGTAACACTTATTAGAATCTAGGAGAAGAAAAATCACAATGTGTCAGGATACAATTTGGGGTTGAAATTAAAATTTCAGAATAGTTGCCTAACTATAGTCACTACCTCATTCCTTTCTTGACTATTCCCCTCAAGGAATTGAAAAGGGCCTTCTAAAGATCAACATCAAAATCCTTTATGAAAGAAGAAGGGTGAGTCATAGTGCCATTTGTTAAGTTTGGGGAAAGAAGAAACTGCCCTTAGATGGGTTAGTAGCTCAAATCACTTCTGTGGAGCTGGGAAGGCAATATCCAAAATCATACAAGAGGTACTTTGTTCTAAGTTTGGTTATCGCCATAAATCCATTTTCCTAAGAAAGCCTTTTGTTGTTGACCGAACATACCTTTTAAGTCTAGAAGGGGCTTTTAGATCAGAGAAATAATTATTTCTTGATATTTTCGGTAGAGCTAAAAGGATGCTTTTTAATATACTTTAATATCAATGTGGCTAGTAATTTAAAAATTTGCATTTATGATGTGTCTCTATCTTTTGAAAAGTAGAATTATATTTTTTTATTCATGTCTGACTTTTCATTAGGGTTTTATTGGTGAAGATATTTGAGTGGTTTACCACTTTCTTCTCCAGTGGATTAAGACAAACAGAGATTAAGTAACTTGCCCAGGGTCACACAGCTAGTGAGTGTCTGAGGCCAGTTTTGAAGTCAGGTCTTACTGACTCCAGGCCCAGCGCTTTATCCTACCTGCTTCTGTTGAATTGGGGAGATGCTTTATTGGATCTGACTCTTACCAGCATGGAGGAATTGGTTGGTAGTCGTAAGATGGAATGTTGGAAATGAGTCAGTTGGGTGGTATGATGCGTAGAGCACTGGACTTGGTGTCTGGAAGACCTGAATTCAAGCCTGGACTTAGAAATTTATTAGCTTTGTGAATTAGGGCAGGTCATTTAACTTCTTTCTGCTTCAGTTTCCTCAGCTGTAAAATAGGGACAATAATAGCACCTACCTCCCAGGGTTATTGTGAGATTAAAATGAGATGGTGTTTTAAAAGTGCTTTGCAAACCTTAAAGCAATACTAAATGCTATCTATCTAGTAGTAGTAGCAGTAGCAGCACCAGCAGTATTAATAGTAACAACCATTCCACCAGGAAGAAGTGATTACTGGTATAGTTTGATCTGTACCCTTGGGTTGAGGAGAGATTTCAAACTGTTCAGAGGAAAGATAGGATAAGATTATATGGATTAAAATTCTCTAGGGATAGTCAGCACATGAAGGATGGAAAACCTAAAATGAAATTCTAAAGACACCAATAGAAATAATTCCTTTTTGGAGGTGAGAAGGAAAAGGAAGAATTGTTTAAAGAGTTGCTGAATGTACAAAAGGTTTAACTAAGAGCAGAGGATCAATACAGAAGTGTGGTTTGGTCCTGTAACAGTAGTGTCAAGAGTACTAAAGCTTCAAGTGAGCTGAGACTGTTAAGGGAATCTAAGGACAACAAACCGGTTCCGAAAAAAGGAGAACTCTGTGTGTGTGTGTGTGTGTGTGTGTATGCTAAGGAGGAAGGGTAAAACCACTGCTAGGGGTGGATGGAAGTCATCTTAAATGATGGAAAGAAGGCAGGACTGTGGAATTGTTATTTTGCTTCACTTTTCTCAGACAAAGATAATAAACCTTGGACTGAAATAAACGGAATAAAAATGACCAGTTTTTACTCATCTTCCGATTGATTTGAGAGTCAGTCTTTTTTGAGTCCAGGTTGCCAGGCCCAAGTCAACTACATTTGTGATACTGAAAGAATTTGTGGGTGGGTGTGATGGCTGAACCACTTGGAGTAGTCTCTGAATGATCTGGTAGAACAGGAAAGGGGCAAATGTTCTGAGATTCTTTTTTTTAAAATTAATTTATTTTGAATTATCAACAATCACTTCCATAAGCTTTTGAGTTTTAAATTTTTCTTCCTCTCCCTCCCCAAAATGGCACACAATATGATACAGGCTCTACATATACATTCCTATTAAACATATTTTCACACTAGTGATATTGTAAATAAGAATTAGAACCAATAGGAGGAACCACCAGAAAGAGAAACAAAACATAGCAGAAGAAAAAAATAGCAAATATGTGTGCTTTGATCTGCATTCAAACTCCATAGTTCATTCTTCTTCGTGGGTAGCATTTTCCATCATGAGGCCTTTGATCCTTGTATTGCTGGGAAGGGTCATCAACATTAGTCATCAAACAACCTGGCTGTTACTGTGTACATCGTTCTCCTGGTTCTGCTCGCTTCACTCAGCATCAGACCATACAAGTTTTTCCAGGTTTTTCTGAAGTCAACCTGTTCATCATTTCTTATAGAACAGTAGTATTCTATTACATTCATATGCCACAACTTGTTTAGCCATTCCTCAATTGATGGGCATCCTCTCAATTTCCAATTCTTTGCCACCTCAAAAAGATCTACTATAAATATTTTTGTACAAGTGGGTCCTTTACCCACTTGTATGATCTCTTTGGGATACAGCCTTAGAAGTGCTATTGCTGGGTCAAAGGGTATACATATTTTTATAGCCCTTTAGGCATAGTTCCAGATTGCTTTCCAAAATGGTTGGATCATTTCACAACTCCATCAACAATATATTAGTGTCCCAATTTTCCCACATCTTTTCCAACATTTGTCATTTTCCTGTTTTGTCATGTTGGCCAATGTGATAGGTGTGATATGGTACCTCAGAGTTGTTTTGATTTGCATTTCTCTAATCAATAGTGATTTAGAGCATTTTTTCATAAAACTATAGATGGCTTTAATTTCTTCATCTGAGAACTGCCTGTTCATATCCTTTGACCATTTATCAATTGGGGAATGACTTGTATTCTTATAAATTTGACTTAATTCTCTATATATTTTAGAAATGAGGCCGTTGTCAGAGAGACTGTTTGTAAATATTCTTTTTCAATTTTCTACTTTCCTTCTAATCTTGGTTGGATTGGCTTTATTTGTGCAAAAACTTTTCAATTTAATGTAATCAAAGTTATCCATTTTGCTTTTCGTAATGTTCTCTATCTCCTGTTTGGTCTTGAATTCTTCAGTTCTCTATAGATCTGATAGGTAAACTATTCCTTGCTCTCCCAGTTTGCTTACAGTATCAGCCTTTATATCTAAATCATGAACCCATTTTGACTTTATTTTCGTAAATGGTGTAAGATTTTGGTCTATGCCTAGTTTCTGCCATACTCTTTTCCAGTTTTCCTAGCAGTTTTTGTCAGAGTGAGTTAGAAGCTGGGGTCTTTGGGTTTATCAAATAATAGATTACTATAGTCATTGACCACTGTGTGTTGCATATTTAACCTATTCCACTGATCCACTACTCTATTTCTTACCAAGCAGTTTTGATGATTGCTGCTTTATAATGCAATTTAAGATCTGGAATGGCTAGGCCACCTTCCCCTGCATTTCTTATGTCCTGAGA